CTTCGTAGAACATGAATGACAAAAATGAAGAATCCCTACAGCAAATCAATAAAGACAATAACAGTTGTGCAAAAATAATGTGCAAAACGATAGACAACTGGTGAATTTTGTGTAAAAACTATTATTAATGTAGATGTTGATTCTCAATCAGGTAAATATGGGCGATGGTACACAAGAAAAACAACAAACAAACAATAAACTATCAAAAACAAAATTAAAGATCACTGCAAGAAAACGCTCAAGCATATCTTTTTGTTGGTTTGTAGTTGACTCTTGAAAATTATGCGTGGTATTTTATCCTTTTATATCAATTTTAAATCTAGCTTTCTCCTGCTGGAGTCCGTTGGCCGGTCACTAAAACAGAGTTAAGCTGCTAATGCTGGTCAACAAACCGCATTCTATAAGTCAAACCCAAATAACTAAACGTCGTCTGTTTGTTTGAAGTGAAGAAATCAAACGCGAACTTACCGTGCAACTTGGTCTTAAAAGTCTCTTTCACTATGTACAATGTATTTAGGCAAGCGTAAATTAGAGCTCCTATTTGCGCCTTATCCTTGAACACGTTCGACCGAGAAACGTCCGTTTTACCTGTAATGAGTTAAAGATTGTGAAGATGTACTGAAATGCGAGTCCAGCATCCGTGACGCTTAGAATACCAAACACCCAAGTCAGTCCCAGAAGAGGAAGCAAAACTACGCATGCTCTCAAGCCCTGCCTAAAAGAAGGAAAGTCACGTGTTAGACATTATAAGATAGAACTACGTCGAGAAACTTATGACGTCATGGATGGACAGACATGGTTAGAATTAAAAGCGTGAAACAACAAGGATAAGAAATTCGAATATTTTTAGGAATTTTTGTAACTTTTAAAGTACGCAGAAGAAAAAAAGAAACATGCAAAAACATTGCTTTTAAACAAAAAATAAACAAACAAACAAATGAAAGAAAACAGAAATGTAATGAAACGAGCAACGGGTTATTTCAAATTAAGTCTGAAAGTCATAACATAGTATTGAGATATTAAAATATTATAACGTGTCAAATGAATTTAATTGGGCCTCTTACCTCATGTTGGATACATCCTTTACAGACTGCATTTTCGTCATCTCGCACACAACGCGACATAGTATAACCGAGTTCACCTTTGAGTACGAGCCAGTTATAATAAGAAAAAATGTGCATGAATTCAACATCATCACTAACCTGTGTTTTTCATTCGTTGACAGACTTTGGCACAGGAAACAAACAAACAAATGTAGGTACCATTTTACATAGACCTTTGGATCTTAACTCTCGGATGTACACGCAAATTCATACCCCCACCGTGGTACAAGGGAGGAGGGGGGTGGGGAGGGGTGGATGAAATTTATTCCAAAACGAAACGCTCCATTTACTTATCTTAGAGCCTGTCTTATATGAGGTGAGTCAGCTCGGTAAGCCAGGCTGACCCGCTTTACCAGGCTGGCTCGGCTCGGCCTCGTTTCCTCTTAAAAATGTCTCGTTGTGGTTTATATGAAAGGGTGGGGTGACACGCTTGCCCTAGTTCTCAGGCAACCGGGACCTCCGCAAGCGCGCCACCCCACCTTCTCATACAAACACAACCTACTACAATTCTAAGAGTGAACAAGGCAAAAATGAGCCGAGCCAGCCCGGCAAAGCATCAGCCAGCTCAGCTAACCGGGATGGCTCACCTCATATAAAAAGGCCCTCGAGATGAAAGGTTGCGCACGCCTAAGGTTTTTGGAGCCCTCGCTAGCATGGCCAATATTTGGGCTCTGAATGAAAGATTTCTCAAAAAGCGATATTTGCCATTACACCTATTACACCTAGACGACGTTTTAAATCATACCATTCCCTGGACATCAGTAACCTCGTATTAGTGTACAGATGATTGAACAAACAAAACGGAAAATAATATTTCTAAATCTATTCAGATTAGGTATAGACTGCAGGCATAGGCTGCAGCCCCAGAAAATTAAAGGGGGACGAAATAACTATATTAAACACATTTACCAAACAAACCAAGAGGACTGGCGCCACAAAGGTCCAGACCAAACTATTAGAGAAGGAAACCCAACAGCTGTGAATAAAATAGAAGACAAAGAAGAATTTTTGGAATTGATTACTTTAAAAAAAAATGTTCATGAAAAGAAAGATGCACGTTTCACCAAATACTTACAAATCACTGTGAACGTAGCTCGTTATGCCTTCATTTGTGATGTGCGCTAAAACAAGCGACAACAGTACCACAACACACGGGAATCCTAAAGAAAGGAGGTGTGTGCTTTTACTAGCTGACACATTAAAACATTAATGTTGAGGCCCCAAATGTAATAAATGACCCTGAATGTAAAAAAAAGGTCGATCCTAAGTGTAATATATTTTGACCCTAAATGTAATGAAAGTCCCAACAGTAATACCTATGAAATGACTCCTGCGTTCAAACCTATCACAATATAATGTTCACTGACCCTAAACTTGATTAAGTCACAGAGACTGGAACATGCAACGGGCTGATGGGATAATTTCATAGCTACGCGATTCACTTTGCACGCCATATTGAAATCTTTATAGACAGGGTGTATAATGGGCAATGTGAAAAAGGTAAATTTACAATTTTCACATTGCCCATTATACACCTTATTTATCTTCGAAAATTTTGCATAAAAATTGTTTCCAGTTTCTCCTGGGTATTACAGGTTTTCCAAGGGAAACTGAAAACAAGGCTTAGGCATCAGTAAACTTAGCATTGGGCAGTAAACAACGGGTAATATTTAATTTGGGCAACGTGAAAAGAAGTTAGACTGGGGATGGTATGGGCGGCTGTGTTACCATTTTTATGTCTTGAGTAGTCATTGTGCTCTACGTTCGTGCTCTATTTTTTAAGACGGGATATTTTAACAAATGGGGAAGAAAGGTCTTATTTGGGCGAAAACAGTAGCTGAATACCAGAGGATTTTAAAGGATGATCACGAAGAAGTACTAAAGTACAGATCTCCTTTTTATAGTTACGTTATTTTACACACTCAAGCTTCGTTATCATAGTAACAAAGCTTTTATACATCCAGGACCTTTATTACATTAAGGTCGAAAAGGTATTAATTACACTTAATTTCTTCATTTAGGGTCATTTATTACATTTGAGGCCTCAACTGCGCCTGGGAGAAATCAGTCGAATACTGTAAGGTAGATGATTTTACGTACCCCAAGAAAATGCGTAGAATACCCTCATCTTGACAAGTGTGTTGAACACTTTTACAACCATTAGATATAGATAGATCCCTTCCATTAACATCCACGCAAAGCCAGCCAAATAAAAGTAGTGGATTGATGCCGCAACAAAGATGCAGACTTTCTATTGTAGCAAAATCATTAACAACAGTGAGGAGTCGATAACGGTGCATAAACAACGTTTCACAATAAGTACAAATATCTCAGAAAGTAATAACAGGTGTTTGCAGGTCTACCACCACCACCACCACCACCACCACCACCACCACCACCACCA